TTTTTTTTTTGTTGCATCAAATGATGGCTGATCATGCCAAAGTATCTAGTCTTTATACACAACAAAGATAAAGCTCTCTTGCAGACAAAGTGCCCTGATCCAGCGGGTCCAGCCTTGCGGTTGTGTGGGCAACCATGCTTAACTCAGGACAAAAACCTGTGTGTTTTTTATATATATATATATATATATATATATATATATATAAGATGATTCCCTGTGCCCCCATTTTTACTCTTGTGTGGCACCAAAACGTCGTGCTGCTCCCAGCTCACCTTCGGTGTATGTTGTGTTGTTGCAGAAAAAAATTGCTTATCATCTGCATCTAGAATTTATTTGTAGATTTTTCTATATTTGAAATGTTTTGTACTGTACCTGATAAAAGAAGAAGAATCACTATAGCTGATTTATTTTTGTATAAATTACGGCAATATCATTACAGTCTAATCACTGTAGTTTCTTTACCTATCTGCCTCAGGCTTACTGTACAGGGCAGATCATTCGAAAGGCAGGTTTCCCTTTGCATTTTGCTCGTTATAACAGGTAGACACATCAAAGAAGTGCGTCAGGTTCGAAGCGGTGTGCCCAAAGAGAAGTATTTTCAGGTGTCAGTACCTGAAAATAAATAATGGAAGCTGAACTCCTGCCTGATGATGAGCACTATTACTGTACTCTTGCCAACTACGTTTTTTTTTTTTTTTCTATCTAACTTATTTAGAGGGTTCCAACGTTTTGATTTCATGCGAATCTTAATATTTGGTTTATGTGCCATAGTTTTGCTCGATGAACAATTCCTCTGGCTGCGAAAGACTAACATTGAAACTGCATTTTCATCCTCTTTGCGCATACCCGGGTCACTTGACTACGCGGAGCGATGACTGTCGATCTGTGCGGCTCTCCTTTGCAGACTTATTTGAAGAGAATCTGTGAAGCACTTCATGTGCAGCTTGGCGTCAGAGAGGAGGGTCACCAGTTTAAGCTAAAGCTCCGTGCGTTGCCTGCTCCAGCGCACGGTCCACGTTGCGTAGAAAACTTGATGGAACCGCGACTGTGCGTTTTCTACGAACAGCCAAAATGCCACGCAATGAAGGTACAGGTTATCTTTTCCAGTTCGTAAACAATACGTTGATGTTTTTA